TAAATTCTAGTACATGTCCTGCATGCACAGGGACCTAGTTTCCCTTGCACAAGTGGACTATGCTTCTTTACTGGCGTCAGAAGTAGTTTCTGTTCGTCAGTGAAAACTGCTATCATTCCTGCAACCACACACTGGTGAATGGCATTGTGTCAAGTTGCCAGATACTAAGTTAGATGCCTAAGAGGAAAATACAAAGATATAATCTCTGATCTCTAAGAGGTTATAGTCAATGACATAGACCATTAGTGAATAGATAATTACAACAAAAGGTAGTGACTGCTACAATGGAGTAAACGAATAAGGAGGAAGGATACCCAATCTAGCCAGGAAGATAAGGGTGGGTATCCTGGAAAGTGACGAGTTGCAATTTGAAGCAATAGGATTTAGACAGACAAAGATTAGGGGGCTTTTCTAAGCATAGGGCTTTACCCATGGGAAGTTCCCAAGGTAAGAGAGAATGTACCATATTAGGAGAACTGCAAGTCGTTCCTTATGGCATTTACAAGGAACGCCCAAAAGTTACTTCTTCTCTAACTACCACCTACAATGGTGATTATTTTGTATTGAAAACAAATAGAATGGCTAACACTGGACTTTTTATTTTCAGATTTCAGTATTCTGGTCATGAAAGTTGAGGCTAGGCTAGGAAGGTAAACAAGGGGTCAAATATGCCGTTAGGAGCTTAGCTCGTTCTTACCCTAACGGCCATGGAAAGATTTCAAGAGTGCAAGATTTCAAGAAGAGAAAGATAAACAGATAAACATGCATGAACTTGTTTTTTCAGGCAGGCAAGACAAATGCCAAGGAGATGGGTTCAGATTCTGCTGCAGTAATTCTAGCAAGAAATGATAGGGGCCTGGGTTAAGTAGCAGAGAAAGGAATGCACTTGAGAGGTGTTAAGAAAATAAGATAGATCACAGTGACTAAACAGATGGAAGGTCTGAGGAAAACACAATGGAATGCTTGTTAACCAAAAGCTCTTTAGAGAACATATTGGCATATGTATCACACTTGATATTTGAATATCTTTTGACCCAATAAGTCCAATTTATTTTTTTATTTTAAATTTTAAAAATATGGTTTTATTGATTTCAGTGAGAGGGGGAGAGAGATAGAAACATCAATGATGAGAGAGAATTGGCTGCCTCCTGCACACCCCCCCTGGGATTTGTGCCCTCAACATAGGCATGTGCCCTGACTAGGAATTGAACTGTGATCTACTAGTTCATGGGTTGACATTCAAACACTGAGCCACACTGGCCGGACTAAGTCCAATTTATTTTATACAAATATTCATGTGCTAAAAAGATGTTTATGGATCTTGAATAATGTATATTGTTTGTAAAGCTAAAAACCTGGAAAGCACCAATACTTTTAAAAAAAACCTAGGGAATAAGCACACCATGGAATTCTATAGATATTTTTTTAAAAAATCAAGTAGATCTGTTTGTACCAACAAAAATCTTCAAAATATATTAAGTAAAAAAAGCAAGTGTATTAAGTTATGGGTATTAAAATCTTATTCATGTAAAAAAAGGTATATATGTTTGTATTTGTGTATGTGAGTGTAAGTAAAGTGGGAATACATATATACCTAAATCCATAACAAAGGTTTGGAAAGATATGTATCATTATAGTAACAGTAGTTACCTCTGGGAAGTAAAGTGGGAGAAGTAGGCAGGACTGTATGCATATATTTATGTAGTACTGGTATCTTTTACCATAAGAATATATTAGTATATTTTTTTAAATGAATAAAATGGGGGCGGGGGGGGAGACTCCCAGGCTTTTAGGAAGTCAATTAGGAAGGTACTACAGCCAATCACTGAGAGAACAAGAAAGGTAGATAAAATGAAAAATTATGCCTTTAGTTTTAGATCTGATTGGGCAGTACTTGGGGAAATCTAGATAGATCTGCCCTTATAAGGACCTAGAATACAGGAGAGAAAGCTGGGCTGAAGACACAGATTTGCCAATCATCTGCACATGGTTGACATTTAGTCAAGGTACTAAATTAGATTAGTCAAAGAGTGGAGGGCCGGCCACCCTGCCATCGATCGGGGTGGGAGAATCCAATCATAGTCTGGGTCGGCCAGGGGAAGGGGCCACCCCTGGCCCCACCCCCTGATCAGGCCAGTTAGCTGGCCACAGTGGGCATCATATGACCGGTTGTTCTGGTAGTTATGAATGCTGGCTTTTTATATATATAGATAAGATAGATGGGGGGTCACCTTGTTAAGCTGACAATGGATAGACAGGCATAGGAGTTAAAGCTTAGAGCAGTGGTTCTCAACCTTCTGGCCCTTTAAATACAGTTCCTCATATTGTCACCCAACCATAAAATTATTTTTGTTGCTACTTCATAACTGTAATGTTGCTACTGTTATGAATCGTAATGTAAATATCTGATATGCAGGATGGTCTTAGGCGAGCCCTGTGAAAGGGTCACTGGACCGCCAAAGGGGTCGTGACCCACAGGTTGAGAACCGCTGGCTTAGAGAAACACAGGGTGTGCTCTCCTTCCTGGGAGCAGGCCAGTAGTACCTTTCTTCCTTCTCAGGCATGCATCTTCTAAACCAGTGGTTCTCAATCTTGGCTGCACATTAGAATCACCTGGGAATCTTTTTAAAATCCTGATTTCTGGCCCTCATCCTCTGGAAATTCTGTTTCTTTCTTATGGGTGGGGCCACAACATTAGTAACAAAGAAACAATTTCTGGAGGATGAGGCCCAGAAATCAGGATTTTTAAAAAGATTCCCAGGTGCCCTAACCGGTTTGGCTCAGTAGATAGAGCACCGGCCTGCGAACTGAAGGGTCCCAGGTTTGATTCTGGTCAAGGGCATGTACCTTGGTTTCGGGCACATCCCCAATAGGGGGTGTGCAGGAGGCAGCCGAATGATGTTTCTCTCTCATCGATGTTTCTAACTCTCTATCCCTCTCCCTTCCTCTCTGTAAAAAATCAATAAAATATATTAAAAAAAAATTCCCAGGTGATTCTCATTTGCAGCCAAGGTTGAGAACCACTGTTCTAAACTCTAAGGGACCCCATGAAATTTACAATCAGGGAGCAATGGGCAGCAGCAGTTTGTCCCAAGCTAACCCCCTGAACCTGTCTCCAAGGCCTCCTTTTCTCTGACTTTCCAGTAAGCCAAAGCAGCCCCACCTGGACTCACTTCTTTCGTATAACATTTCTAGAGAGAAAAATCACCTAGGCTTTCTCCTGTTGCTCCCTCTATCTAAGCCCTTCCTTATAAATATACTCTCATAAAAAAAAAAAGGCTTGGAGAAACACCCAGTTCAAACCTCAGATATAAATTGCATGACTACATAATTGGTTTCTTTTTATTTAATTGATTTTAGTGAGAGGAAGGGGGAGGGAGAGGAGAACTATTGATAGGTTATCTTATGCATGTACCCTGACCTACAACCTGGGTATATGCCCTGATTGGGAATTGAACCAGTGACCCCTCGGTGCATGGAACAACACTCAACCAACTGATCCACCCTGGCCAGGACTTCAAAATTGTTTTCTCAAAAACTCATCAGCCATGACTAGGAACAAAGGGTTATCATTAATTTTAGAGGGTAAAATAAAACTGGGAAAGAGAGCAAGCCAGGTCCGGAAAGCTCTTAAGTATTTTCCCCAACATCTTCAATTCTAAAGAGATCTTTTACCTCTATTTGGGGTATTTATCTATAAGAAAAAAACTAGGTATTTTTAAAAACAGTTTCTTGGCTCCAAGTGTAGCTGCTCTGTGATGAGATTATTTTAAGCACATTTTATTTTTGGACTTTGGATGACACTATAAGCAGGGCCATCCTAAATCTGGATAGCAAGTATCAGTTTTATACTTAATCAAGGAAAAAAGAAGTTTGTGTAATTCATTTTATTCAAATGAGTTATTAAAATAATTAAGTATCTGTAAGTATTTTGTAAGTATGTGGGGGAGGATTAGAAGATACCATACTCAAAATTAAATATGGATTTATAGTTTTAAAAATGTAAAATAAAATCCTAATCATATATAAGCTATCGTCAATTTGGGAAATTTCAAAGGAAAAAGTCATTGCTGTTATAAAGTTATAATGTAATGTTCATATGGTTATAAAGTCATAGCTAAATAAATTTTACTGCCACTTTTTAAAATATATATATTCTTATTGATTTCAGAAATGAAGGGAGAAGGAAAGAGAGGAATATCAAGGATTAGAGAGAATCGCTGATTGGCTGCCTCCTGCGCGCCCCACATTGGAGATCGAGCTGCAACCTGGGTATGTGCCCTGGCTGGGAATCGAACCGTGACCTCCTGGTTCAGTGGTCAGCAAACTCATTAGTCAACAGAGCCAAATATCAACAGTACTTCTTCAAAATAGACTTGCCCAGGCTGAAAACTGACTTCTGTGCATGGGCCACGAAGTTTCAATCGACTGTACGTGTGTGCCTGCATGTGGTATTTTGTGCCCGCACATGGTATTTTGTGGAAGAGCCACACTCAAGGGGCCAAAGAGTCGCATGTGGCTCGTGAGCCACAGTTTGCCGACCACGGTCCTGGTTCATAGGTTGATGCTCAACCACTGAGCTGAGCCGGCTGGGCCACTGCTACTTTAAACATAAACTAAACGGACAGAGATTTATTATATCAACACGAGTAGCCCTGCACACGAATCCTTGAGCCAGTAGGTTGCTGCTGCCTTCCTGTAGCTCGCCCCGCCCCCCTCCTTCCTATCCCCCTCAGAGCTTGCTGCCCTTCCCCCTCCTATAGCTCTCTGAAGCCTGCTTGTACCTCGCTGGCCCACCCTCCTGCTGATTCCTGATCCGGTGGTGATGCACTTGGTTGTTACACCTCAGGGTGTAATGGCTAATTAGCATATTCCTCTCTTATTATATAGGACAGTTAAAGAAATTCTTCCTGGCGGGATAAATGGAGATGAAAAAAAGTAAAGAAAAAAAAATTCTTCACAAAATAATTATCATTGGAAAAAAAAATCATTGAGGTTACCTTGTCTTTTGACTGTCCTTGCCGAGCAATTGCATCATATTTAATTTTTCCTTCAGCATCCACCTGAATGGCCAGTGCATTTGACATTTTTTTCTTTCGTCCCATATCCAGTGGATACTGGGCCACATGGATCTCTGGAAAAGCACCTCCATCTCCAAAATCCTATATATTAAAAAGAAAATTTAACAATTAATAGTAATTTGAGATTCAAGATATATTCACTCAATAAATAGTTATGAAGCTTTTATGCAAAAAGCTTGAGATACAGCAATAAATAGGGATCTCTAATCTTGTGGAGTGTATATTCATTCTACATAAAAGCATAATCTGTGGCTTGTGATAAATGCCTTGAAAGTATTAAAGGGACTGGAAAGAGGGGCTACATTCGATAGTGTGGCTGGGACTGCCTTTGTGAAGAGGTAATATGAACTAAAAGCCTGAAAGGTGAGAAATTAGTCATGGGAAGCTCTGAGGGAAGCATCCTCTAGAAAAATCAAATAGCAAGTGTGAAGGCCCTGCTGCCAAGAATAAGCTTAGCATGTTTTGGAAACAAGAGTCCAGTGGGGCTGTAGCTTATTGAGGACAGAGGGGGAGACACACAGTTGATAAGGCTGCATGGATAGATAGACAAACACCAAATCATGGAAGGGTTTCGAGACAATAGCAAGGAATCTGGCTTTCATACACGAGGCAGGGAAAAATTAAGTAAAATGTTTAAGCTAAGAAAAAGATTTTTAGTTTTAGCATAAATAATTTTCTTAGTGAGGAATAGGTCAAGCTATAGTTAGGGCAAAATGTAAAAATTTTTTTTCTGAGAACTGATTTTAATTATATGATATTAGTATTCCATATTCCTTGAGAAGCAAATGAAATAAATAGAAGAGGAAAAAACAAAAATGAGTGTAACATATTTCTAATGATGATTATATACAATTACTTAGAACTAAGACTTCAAAAGTCAAACAAGCTAAGTAAAGTCTGTCAATGAAGTTTAGTGTTACAAAAAAAGATAATCAAATAAACATATGAATATTAATGTAATTTTATTAAAATTAGTAATATTTGCTTAGTACCTTATTATAATTTACAAAATATAATCCACACATACATTACCCTATTTAATTCTTGTAATTTTTGAATACCTCATATTTTCATATGGGAAAAATTCAAGCTTAGTAAAGTTAAGGAATTTTCCCAAGGTCTCATGGCTAACATATGCAGGATCTGAACCCCGATCTTTTTGACTCAAAGAAAACCCCCTTTTTTTTGTATTTTCTATTAAATTGATATACCTTCCTTTTAGCTTATAAAGAGCAAATTAGTACTATTTCAAAATAAGAAAAACATATCAAAATAAATCATTTAGAGGTGGTTTGATGAAAAATAATCACTTTTCTAAGACCTACCCCTTCAAGAAATATGCCATTAGATCATGAATATATGATTTCCTAGTTACAATATGCTTAATTGATAAAGACAACATTTTTTAAAGCAAACAAAAGAGCTGAGGGAGACATTTTGTTATAAATTATGCAGAAATGGTTAAAAGAGTATCCAAAAAGGTACTACTTGTTCCCAGACCATCAATCTGTCACAAGCTCATATTTGCTGGTGTTCTTCAACTATATAAGCACTTCAGAACTGTACATGTGGCATTATGTGGTCATTAAGCTTGCCAGAAAAATCACAGCTTTTACTTTGGAAACTAGAACAAAATGCTTTCTTCTGCAGAACATTCACTCCCCCTCAAAAAGGTTCATGGTATTTCCAGATTAGCTGGCCATTTTGGTATGATTTTCAAATAAACTGTTCTGTTCTTCCAGGACATATGAAACCTTTAATAATCAAGTTAAGATTTTAAAAACCTAATAGTACCTGAATGTCATAATGTTGAAATGGAAACAAGGATGAGATTTCTATTGCATGTAAAATGATGCCTGCCACCTGTAATCTTTGAGGCCAAATGAAGACTATCTACAATTCCTCAAAAGAGACCTGAAGTCCTCTATTAGATATGCCAGTCACTACCTTTTTATCCCAGAAAAGAGCTTCTCACAAATTACACTATCAGCAAAAACAAAAGCAACAACAAAAATCCTTCAATAACTGTTTTAAGATTGGCCTTCACATTCTAGAATTAACAAGGGCCAGAGGATAGTCAGGGAAAAAATCCCCAAACAGGGAATATGTTAGAAGAAGACGTGATCTAATTGGGTGTTCAGCTTCTAGACCAGTGATGGTGAACCTTTTGAGCTCGGCGTGTCAGCATTTTGAAAAACCCTAACTTAACTCTAGTGCCGTGTCACATATAGAAATTTTTTGATATTTGCAACCATAGTAAAACAAAGACTTATATTTTTGATATTTATTTTATATATTTAAATGCCATTTAACAAAGAAAAATCAACCAAAAAAATGAGTTGGCGTGTCACCTCTGACACGCGTGTCATAGGTTTGCCATCACTGTTCTAGACTCTCTAAAGAGTTTTGGTAGGTAGGAGGAATGTCAAACATGCGCCAGGCTGAGAATGCAGATGGCTTCTTGCAGGGTGCTAAGCAACAAACTTCAATCCAATGACTACTTAGTTCATTCACTATGATCACAATTTGAAGGCATATAAAAAAAAAACCTTCACACTTGTACAGTAAAAATCACAACCAGATGATAGACTATACCAAACTGATAAAATAACTCAGTGCAAAATAAATGATGTAGGCATTTAAAAATTTTTAATAGGGCAGGTATATTCTTTGGGACGTGTACATAGGAGGAAAATCTGCAGTAGTCAGAAAGAATTTTGGAAGAAGAAAAAGGCTTGATGATACAGAAGAGGTCTTGGGGAGGCAAAATAAATTACACATCAAATATTTGCTTTTCTTCCTAGATCAAAAAGGAGTCAAATATGAGCAAGTGTGTTCTGGAATTAAGGAAAGGAAAATGTATTGACCTGATTTACAGGAACCTGAGTAATCAGGAGGATAGGTGCTGCCAAAGAAGTTTATTCTTTGAGAAACAGCTAAAGATATAAATAGATGATTACAGACTCTTTCCTCCTCACTTCTTGCCTCCAAATCAATGATCAAATTCTATTACACCTCTTAAAAATGTATCTAATATGAATATTAGACATATAGTTCTCAAAATGAAGACAAGAAAAGAGATGAATAGAGGTTAGGATTTGCCCAGGGTCATACAATTAGAAAGAAGCACAGTATGATGCAAAACCAGTTTGTTTTTTTTTAAACTTCTTGTCAGTGCTCTTTCCACTACAGGCAGTCCTCCGATTATGTTGAACTTGACGTATTATGTCACCATCTCCCATTTATTTATAAAAAAAAGTTCCATCATTTTGACATATGTACGTACATATATGCTTTATGTTTTTTATTATTTATTTACAAGTAAAGGTCAGGAATTGTTATCTTTCTTTTAAATTTTTTTACTGTTTCACTTCATTACTGCTGTGTATGTGCTCCATGTGAATGACATAGGTGCTTATGTAGGTGGGTTCCGACTTATGGCGAAAATTGTGTTATCTCACACCATAGGAATGGATCTCTGCTGTAACCCGAGGACCTAATGTATACTCAATTAGAAGCCCGGTGCACGGATTCATGCACTGGTGGGGTCCCCCAGCCTGGCCTGTGCCCTCTTGCAACCCAGGACCCCTCGGGGGATGTTGGACTGCCGGTTTTGGCCCAGTCCGTACAGGCCAGGCCAAGGGACCCCACCAGTGCACAAATTCGTGCACTGGGCCTCTAGTACACATATAAAATCTTTGGCTAATCACTTTCGCCCTCCCCCATCCCTTCTCCCCTCTGAGATTAATCAGTCTGTTCCATGTTTCCATGCCTGTGCATTGAACATCCGTCCCCTGGTGGTCAGTGCACGTCATAGCTACCAGTCGAATGATCAGCCGGTTGCTTAGGCTTTTATATATATAGATGAGAAAGAAATCAGAACTAGCAATGCTACTGGTATTTGCTTTGAAGGAATGTTGTCTCTTCAGAGTAATGTTGTATTGTACATGTAGGGAAGAGGATGAAGGGAAAAGTACCAAAATATGTAATCATTCTTTCATTTTTCCCCCCTCTCACTTTCTCATTATTTTTTATAAGCTATAATCCCTAGATTTATAAAAGGTATATTAGTTTCTTTTATATATATTTAAAGTTTGACATAGAAGAGATTTAAACTAGTATAATTATCCAGTGACCACAAAGTAGTGATGATAATAAACAAGAAAAAGATTCTTCTGAGGGAAGTATATGTCTTCGGAGCTCACAACCAGAATTTCTATCAGATTGACATTCACATGTGGAGATCCTAGGGTTTAAATTTATTTAACAATTGTATTATAATAAATTTCAGGACAATTTAATATATCCAAACTGAAGGTCCATATTTACCTCTAATAACCGAGGTATCCAGCCTTTCCGGTACCCGTATGGGGGAGGTTCTCTTCGGGAGGAGACCAGTGAGGTCTGCCGTGATCTCTGGGATCTTGCCTTTTCTTCAGCCTCAAGCTGGTCCTGAGATAGCTGAGTAGGTGCAGGTAAAAAGCTATAAGCAAAGATAAAAAAAGTCAGAATTTTTAAAAACGCTTATAATTAATTTGATTATTGCAATTTGGCCACCAGAGAGTATTTTCCTACAAGATTTTTTCCTTTGAGCAAAATAGCAAACTTTTCACAATCTATGGTGGTATCCAATATCAGTCATTTCGTTATGCCTGGAAAGAAATAAGTACTCAGATACCTAGAGCAGTGCTGGCAAACCTTTTGAGCTCGGCGTGTCAGCATTTTGAAAAACCCTAACTTAACTCTGGTGCCATGTCACATATAGAATTTTTTTGATATTTGCAACCATAGTAAAACAAAGACTTATATTTTTGATATTTATTTTATATATTTAAATGCCATTTAACAAAGAAAAATCAACCAAAAAAATCAGCTCGCGTGTCATAGGTTCACCATCACTGACCTAGAGTAAAAACATTTGACTAGAATGCAGGCAAATGGTACCCAGAAATAAAAATTAACAGGTATTTCACATACTAGACAAACTATTGAGATTTTATGTTTCCACACTTCTTTTCTGGAAACAAGCAAGTAAACATCCTCAATTACCCAGGGGCCAACTCTATAATACATGGTTTTCTTAGTGTCTTTACACTTCTTATTTTTCATTCTTTTACTCTTATGCTTCTTACTTTTAACTATAGTTCTTTTATAGTTATAAAAGAACAAGAATTAGAACTGAATGTAAGAGAATGACAAAAGGAAGAAACACAAGTTGCATATTTAAGTGCGCTTTCCCACAGGTCTCTAGTTTAGAATGCAATTTAAAACTTAAGAGGTCATAGATTTAAAGCCTAAAAATGTAATTTGTCATTCTTTATATAAAACAGTCTTCTACAAAGTCAGTAATTGTCAACCTTTTTCATCTTGTGGCATACATAAACTAATTACTAAAATTCTGCAGCACACCAAAAAACCCACACACACATTTTTTTGCTGATCTGACACACACACACAAAAAGGATTGCTATTTTGGGTTGACAGTTGTCATTTTTTTACTTGATAATCTAAGGGAAAAGAGGTCAGTGCCCCTGACTAAATAGGTAATGGATGTTTAAAAAATTCGTGCAGCACACCGGCTGCAAATCGCTGTACTAAACCATTCCTAACAACTTTTAAGTATGATGTTATTATAGGATACTCTAAAGTACCACAAAAGAACTGCAATAAATAATATGTTTAATGGAAAAGTTAAAATATTTTGTAATTCTTGGATAGTGAGCATATTTGCAGAAGCAGTAGAGCTTATTTATTAAAAAATATTTATTGATCACTTGAGTCCAGGCATTGTGGTAGGCAGGCAATGAGACTATAAACTGAGATATACAGCTTACAGTCTTGCAGGTAAGAGAGAGACAATCCAATATTCACACAAATCCATAATTACAAATTATATTTTACACGATGAAGGAAAAGTTCAGAGTGCTATGAACTCTGAGCATACATCAGAGGAATCTAATTCAGTGGGGAAGGGGGATGTCAGGTAATGTGATGGCTAAGAGATCAGAGTTCAAATCCCATCTATGCCACTTACTGACCTGGATAAACTACTTACCTCTCTGAACCTCAGTTTTCTCATTTGTAACGGTATATCTAGGGTTGTTATAAAGATTAAATGAGAAAATTCATGAACTTGGCAGTGTCTAAATATCATTCAACCCATGTTCCATAAATATTTGGTTATTAGGAGCTGTTCTGATTCTCTCGGTTGTAGTTGCCCCCTATCCGTACTCCCACAAGACACTCTATGTACCACTACTATAACATCTACCTGACTGTATTACAATCGTCTCTTCATTTACCTTTCCCCCCCCTCTAACTAGACTGTAAGCAACTTGAGGACAGGAATAGAGCCTTAGGCTTCTTACATCCCTACCTCTCCTGGCATTGTCTAGCTCACAGCAGGGGCTACTTAAATGTTTTTAGGAGAAAGAAACTCACTCTACCCTTCACACTAACCATCTTTATGTCACCAGAGCCTTCATGTCTTTCTTAAACCATCTCAGGGATTTGCATTTGCTATTCCCTCTGCCATAAACAGTCTATTTACTTACTAAGAACATTATTGTGCTTTTATAGAGAACGCTTCCCCAGATCTTTTAGTGCTAGCTCCGTGGCATTCATATCTCTGCTCAATTACTCTTCCCTAGAGCTATTTTATGACCATCTTGTCCAAAACAGCACTCCACCTCAGCCCTTATTTTATCCCTAATATTTACTACTTATTAACTTATTTACTCATATAGAGTCTGTTTCTTCCAGAATGTAAACTCTGAGGACAAGTTTGCCTGACTGATTCAATACTATAAAACCTTCGCTTGCAACAGTGCCTGGCACATGGTAGATTTTCAACAAATAACAGAATGAATGAATGAATGAGTCCAAAGTTTTGGGCTTCTACATATTCTAGCCTTTGAGAGGGTCTTAACCTTGCTGTTCCCAGTAAAGGATGACGTTCTCACAAAGAAGCACATTCCTGGGGTGGCGAAGGGATGGGGGAGCAGAGGTGGTACATAGAGGGATGTATATGCAAGCAGAAAGTTTATTCAGTGATTCTTAGCTGGGAGCAAAGAATAGATATTTGGCAATGTCTGGAGACATTTTGTCAGGATTTGAGGTTAGGGTGTAGAGGGGGTAGGGGTGTCACTGGCAGTGGGTAGAGGCCAAAGATGCTGCTTAACATCCTTATATAATAAAAGGCTAATAAGTAAATTGACCGAACGGCAGAACGACCGGTCACTATGATGCGCACTGACCACCAGGGGGCAGACACTCAACGAAAGAGCTGCCCCCTGGTGGTCAGTGAGCTCCTACAGGAGGAGAGCTGCTCAGCCAGAAGCCCTGAGTTGGACATCCCCCAAGTATAGATTGTGGAGGCTTCATTGAGTCTAGATGCTCACAGGGCTTGAAATCAATTTGGTGTGTACCCCCCCCCCCGCCACCCAAGTACACGAATTTTGTGCACCGGGCCTCCAGTCTCACATAAAAGGTCAACTCCATAAAAGAATGACTTATCCAGTCCAAATGTCGATAGAACCACTGTTGAGACATCTTTCTACACCTTCCCCTTCACTAAAAAAAGCATATTACATATAATTAGATACATAACCTTAAATGCAAATGATATAATTAGATACATAACCTTAAATACATTTGCATTTAGACAATTAAACCCATAGGACTTTAACAATCGCTGGTGACAACAAGACTGTAACACATCAGTATGTAAGTCCCTGCTACTAATCCCTGGTAGATTCTGAAAATAATAACATTCGTCTGGAAACTTGAGACCACCTCTAAAAATCAAATCAGTTAGAACGAATTCTACAAAACCAGAAATCTATGTAATCCCTAAGACAAGCTATATAAAGACTGCACTCTGCCATTGCAATTTTAAGCACACAATATCCACTTCATCTGGGGTTTTTTTTTCCTGCATGTCCTTTTCAAATTTCACCTTTTCCACAAAACCACAAAGCCTTTCCTCATAACTCCACTAATCTCTGTTACAGTGCCTTCCACCTAGAGGGCACTCAATGAAAAGTTAGATGCCCACAGCATTCACTACTAAAGGAAACTCCGGTCCACTCAGCTCATTCCATCGAATTCTCTCTGCGTTTAAGGTTAATACTACACAAATAAGCATTCTGGGTTCTTTGTTTCATATCTCTGCGCCTTGTTCACCATCTTTCCTGCTGCCAAAGACTGTCCCATCTCCTTCAGCATACACGCAAGCCCTCGGATGGAGCAAGGCACCACAAATTAATTCTTAAAAGAATTTCCCGATTCAAACGTTTTTAGGATTCCTGTCACCAGCCAGGAAATATGTATGTGAGGAGAGTGACGTGTGTTTAAGGAGCTCAAGTGGATGTCCTAAATGACTTCTTTTCCAATACCTCTTTGACCCTCAACTTCCCCTACTGCGTTCGCACGCCAAGTTTTTCTACGTAGATGGAGCAGCACGGACCCGCAGGAGTTACGTAACTCCTCGGGATCTCCCACTTAAGCTATCTTTTTCTTAAAGGCGGGGGCCACTTTCCATGCCGTTACCAAGGCAACCAGGAGCAGCAAAAATCTGAAGTGGTTCTATCTACGGAAGAAACTCCAAGGTCCGAACTGTAGCTAGGCTCTCTGTTTAGTGCCATCCCGACCACTTTTGTTTTTCTTTCCTTTTTTGTTCAGGAATCCTTGTTTCGGGACAGACTGCAGAGAGACCTCAGCTGACAATCAGCCGTCCAGGAAGGCAGTCACCTCCTGCCCGCTTCACGCCCACTGCCCCACACACCCCCATCGCGCCCACCGAGCCGCGCACTCGAGGGAGCGCCCCCCACACCCGTCCCCCAATGCTTAAGCGAAAAACAAGTGCGACTCCTCGGTAGCTGAGGCTAGAAAACTATCCACCACGCCGCTGCTTTCGGCCCTAGCGAGGGGGCAAACTGAACCCGGGAAGCCACTCAGGAAAGACCCCAGCTTCGGCGAGGCCTAGTCGCCCCGGTGGCCGGTGGGAGGGCCAGGCCGAGATCTCGGCCCCCGTCGTTCTGTGCCCTGGGCCCGGTCACCGCTAGGAGAGTGTGGACAGAAAAACGAAAAAAGTGGTACTTCCAGACCCTTCCGTATTCACTGAGGACCCGAATTGTGAACCCACCTGGTGAGCGCCATCTTCTTCCGCTTGCTTTCAGCGCCCGCGACAGCACCGCGGGGCGGGTCTTTGCCCAAGACGAGTTAGGAAAGGACGGAGCGCGTAATACGCAGGCGCGTTAGCCGCAAGGTGTTCTGGGATTTGTAGTTCTTGTACTAACCACCATTCGGTAGTATTCTATCCAGACCAAGCTGTTATGGGATAAGTGATTCATTTAAAAGCACAAGCTTCGCCCTAGCCGGCTTGGCTCAGTGGATATGAAGGTTTGATTCCGGCCAAGGGCACATGCCTGGGTTGCAGCTTGGTCCCTAGTGGGGGGTGTGCAGGAGGCGGTCGATCAATGATCATTGATGTTTCTATCTCTCTCTCCTCTCTTTCTCTCTGAAATCAATAAAGAAATACAAAAAAAAAAGCACATGCTTCACTCATCTGCTGTAAAAGGCGGCCTTTCAAACTTTTATTCTATTCCCTAGTCATTTCTCTTATAGGGGTCCCAAATATAAGAGTCTTCTGAGACAGGAATATTAAAGGATGAAGGATTTTATTTTATTTTTTAAATATAGTTTTATTGATTTCAGACAGGCAGGGAGAAGGAAAGATAGAAATATCGACGATGAGAGAGAATCATTGATTGCCTGGCTTCTGCACACCCCCTACTGGGGATAGAGCCTGCAACCCGGAATTGAACCTGGGAGCTTTCAGTCCACAGGCTGACGCTCTATCCACTGAGACAAACCACTGAGACAAACTGGCTAGGATGAAGGGTTTTAAAACAGTAGAAAATCATAAGACTGGCGAATGGAGAGTTCTTGGATGCTGGAATCGGTCCATCCTTGCTGCTTGACACAGTGGCTGCAGGGAAAAAACATCTGCACAGCATATGTTTCAAGGGACCTGGCAACCTGGCCACACAGAACCTGGCTGGAGAACCTGGAGAACCTGGCTGGTGAACCTATCGAGAGAACATGGCTACAGAACCTGGCTGGAGATCCTAGACAGAACTTGGCTGGAGATCCTGGCTAGGTTGCTGATCAACTGAACGCTGCCTCCGTGTCATTCATTCTTCACCGACTCCATCCACACTTTTGGGGTCCCCTGGACCTGTTGGGGTTGGACCCCAACATTTGGACACTCTGAAAATATTTACACTCAAATTTTTCTTTAAATTTTATCCCGTACCATAAGACACCCCCCACCCCCTTTATTCTCCTGAGGAGGTATTGTGTAATCCTTATTGTTACCTGTAGAACTGTGAACCTGAGAAAGAAGACACCAACTAAAAAGGGCTCCCAGTGGCTAACTGGGCTCAAATTTAAAACAAATAAACCAGTTTAGCCTCCATTTTTACACAGGGGCCTCCACGAAAGTGCACTTCAGGAAGACTTCTGCATTGTTTTTTGACCCTGAGATAGCCTTTATAAAGGAGTTTCTGGAATCCTATTTCAACTAATAGGTCTGAGGCTTTTCCCATCAAATCAGAGCTGCACAGTTCTGACCAACCAGGGTGGCTCTATTCTGACCAATTCAGGACAGTGACTTTCAGACCAATCAAACTTCAAGAATTTGGAGTCCTCATTTGCATGAGGACAGACCAATCAGGGCCCAGGTCCAGGGACTTCTGTCCATATAAGCCAGCTCACCTTGGCACTAGAAAAAGGGCAAAGCAGATCTGCAAGGAACATAGCTGAGCAGTATAATGGGAGAGGGGCCTAACACCAGGGCTGCCTCACAGCTGTGCTGTTTGCATAGGGGTGCTGTATCACAACTGAGTTTTCTTGGACTGAATAGTTTTCCTTTTCACTGCACCCCAAGTTAGGGATTCCTTCTGGCATTGAATTGATACCAGTGACAAGCCATTGACATGCATGCATTATTTATGTATGTTTTTATGTATGAACTAGAGGCCCAGTACATGAAAATTCATGCACTGGAGGGGGTACCTTAGCCTGGCCTGCCCCCTCTCACAGTCCAGGAGCCCTCGGGGGTGGGAGGCGACCTGGCAATCAGGGGAAGGTGATGCCCCATCACACCACTGCTGCTGCCACTGCCGGCAGCACAGCCTCAGCTGGCCCTGGTTTCCTGAGCCTCAGGAGGCTCTGGACAGCTGGGCAGCCACCATCCAAGGCTTGTCTGCTCCTCGGGTGTCAGCTGGGCAGCCTCCATCTGATGCTTGCCCTGGGCCCTGGGGAGCTGAGGAGACTGGGGTACTCCAGAGGCAGGCGTGTGGAGCCACCGGACCCACCTGGGGGCGAGTCCATCTGTGCTGTGCGCCTGCCGCCCCGTGCGGGGCTGAGGGGACTGGGCGCTGCCATCTTGTGGCTGTGGGCGCCACCATCTTTGAAGGCATGGCAGTCAGTTACCATATTCCCTCATTATTGGCTGTGGGGGCCGCCATCTTTGTGTGGGCTTGATGGTCAATTAGCATATTCCCTCTTTATTAGATAGGATATATGTGTTTTAGATAGTGTTTTACGTAGATTATGGGTCAAACATAATCTTTGATGCAGTAACAGGATAACTGGCATCTGCTTCAAAATATTGGAAAGAGGAAAGTGGGTGAAGTATAGATGAAATGAGAATAGCCTTGAATTTTGATCACCATTGAAGCTGGATAATGGGGACATGGATGTTAACTATAGTGTTCTACTTTTGCGTGCGTTTGAAATTTTCTATGATAGAAATAGAAACAAACTTTTTTTTTTAAATATATTTTATTGATTTCCCACAGAGAGGAAGGGAGAGAGACAGAGAGCTAGAAACATCGATGAGAGAGAAACATCGACCAGCTGCCTCATGCACCCCCCCCACTGGGGATGCGCCCGCAACCAAGGTACATGCCCTTGACCGGAATTGAACCCCGGACCTTTCAGTCCGCAGGCCGACGCTCTATCCACTGAGCCAAACCGGTTTCGGCAGAAACAAACTTTTAATTGCAGTATAGCACACATAGAAAGGTGCATACACTCTAAATCAGGGGCCCTCAAACTTTTTAAACAGGGGGCCAGTTCACTGTCCCTCAGACCATTGGAGAGCCGGACTATAGTTAAAAAAAAAAAACTATGAACAAATTCCTATGCACACAGCAGCGGCAAAAACACCTGGTGGGCCGGATAAATGTTTTCGGCCGGCTGTATGTGGCCCGGGGGCCGTAGTTTGAGGACCCCTGCTCTAAATCTATCGTTCTTTGAATTTTCCCAAACCAAACACTAGTCTGAGCAGAAGAAGCACCCCCTCTACACCCACCAGGATGACTTCATTTCTGTGTGACAAGATTGTTCTAGGCTCACCTAATACTTTTTTTCTGCCCAGACCTACAATCACTCACTCCTTCAAGGAGTTCTCCTTTAAGTGGGAAAGTGATATTGAGAGGAAACAATCTGGATTCTGCAAGTGCTCATCATGTTACCGGGTTGATTATTGTTTGTAAGGCTTTTCAGTGGACAGAGCTAAAAAATTCTCACGCACATTTTCTGAGAAAATGCATCATACTTTCATACCAATATTTCCCAAACTGCAGATTCAGGATTACACAGATTTTACTTAACTTTGATTTTATGTGTATCTCTTCTGAAAATCGTGGTATTTAGTGGCATAATTGTATATGTAAAACTGTGGATAAGGGGAGACTACTGTAACATAAACATAGTTTGGGGACTGATATTCCATCATGTTCACATCCCCAGGGATTATGCAGGACATATAAATGGGAGGTGGGGGGGGGGCAGGGAAGAGAGGAGGGAAGAGATCTTGGGAAAGATCTTAGAATCCTGCCTGCCACAGGATATAAACCAAAAGAAAAATAGACTTTTTTTTTTTTTTTTTTGGTAAATGCAGGATTGTTGATCACATTGTGTAGAGTAACAAGCATGATCTGGAAGTTTGAAGATACATATTCAAGCTATATATAATAATAAAAGTAAAATATGCTAATTAGACCAGGCATCATTCCAGATGAAGCCACAGTGGTGGGGGCCGAAGCAGCAGTGGTTAGGGGGCAATCAGGCAGGCAGGCGAGCGGTTGGGGTGATGAGGCAGGCAGGCGAGCAGTTAGGAATGATGAGGCAGGCAGGCAGAGCAGTTAGGGGCGATGAAGAACATAGGCAAGCATTAAGGGTGATCAGGCAGGCAGTCAGGCTAGTGGTTAGGAGCCAGTGGTCCTGGATTATTCTGTTTCTTTGATATGGAGTGGGGCCACAACATTAGTAACAAAGAAACAGAATTTCTGGAGGATGAGGTCCAGAAATCAGGATTTTAAAAAGATTCCCAGGTGATTCTAATGTGCAGCCAAGGTTGAGAACCACTGGTCTAGATACTTAACTTCTTTGGCTCCGATTTTATCAAACTAAATGCTTATCCTGTTAACTGCTTAATACTGTATATATATCATAGCATGATTATGACAATCAACTCTAAAATACTATGTAAATATACTAGTTATCACAGTTAATATTATGGTTGACAGTGATCTGCCTTAATTTTGCTTCAGGAGCCTATTATTTCTAAAAAGAGAATAAAAGAGGAGCAAATTAGATAAGATCCCAGAAGCCAAGATTAGGGAGCTTAGATTTAATTCAGCAGGTATTTTGAAGCCAAAGGGGGATTTAACTGGGTCTAAGAAACTGGCATGAAAGATGATTCTTAAGACAGATGGGTTTCTATGGTGATGAGAGACAAAAAAGGCCACTGAGGACAAGGTTAAAATAATTAACATGGGAAATCAGTCAGATACAGACCAAGACCTGGAAAGTAGGATTGAAAGAAAAAGGTGGAAAAGGGTATTTATTTATTTTTGATTCTTTATTGTTTAAAGTATTACATATTTCTCCCCATTGACCTCTCCCCAGTCATTCCCCCTTTCCTAGCACATACTCTCATCCCCCTACTGTTGTGTCCGTGGTTATGCTTATATGCAGAACTTTTATTATTTTAAAATTAATTTTATTGTTGAGAGCATTACAGATGTCCCCTATTTTCCCTCCTTTGCCCTCCTCTACTCATCTCCCCCCCTCATCCCAAGCCTTCACCTGTCTATGGTCTGTGTCCATGGGCTATTACTCATTTGTGCTTCTAAACCCCT